GGATGTGCATGACCCAGCAGTGTTTTGTTCTATTGTATATATGGTCAGCATGAGTCGGAATTGGCTCAAAGCCACCTAACAACAACAACAACAACAACAACAACAAATCTTGACAGGAGCAGGCAGCCTCATCTTTCTCCGGAGGCACAGCTGGTGGGTTTGAACCACCAAGCTTTCAGTTTCACTAGCCTTTTTTAACCAAGACATCAAGGAAAGCTCACAAAAAGGAGACAGTGGCACTATCACTCAGAGAAGAAAGCAATTAGAATTCAGGTGTAATTCCCAGAGCATTGTACCCCACTGTTCTTTTCTGAGGGATCCTAATAAGATTAGAACAGTGGTCATCACACTTGAGCAAGTGAGAATTGGAATTTTCTAAAGCAGACTCCTGAGCCCCATCCCTGGAGTTTCTGATTCTGTAGATTGGTGCTCAAGAATTTGCATTTCTATCAAATTCCCAGAAGATGCTGATGCTGTGGGTCAGGGGACCACATTAGACTAGAAAGGTCATACCCACAAGTTGTTAAGTGCTGTGGAGTTGGTTCTAATTCATTGAGACCCTATAGAATGTTTCCAAGGAGCAGCTGATGGGTTTGAACCACCACCCTTGTGCCTAGCAGTCTTGTGCTTATCCAACAGCACCATACCAGTATTCATACATAGTTGAAGAAATTCTTCACTCTCTCCATGTTTCTGCCTCCCTGCCCCATTGCAAATGTAGTTTTACGTATGAATTACATCCTAAGTTAACTTAACCTGACTTAACTTAAAGAGAGATTTTAGTAAAGCTTACCTTTGTACTGAGTCCATTTTAAGGGACAGAGTATGTTGGAGGGGACAGTGGGAATTGGACTTGGGTGGGGTGAGTGGGCAGGGCTGTAGCAAGAGGAACCAGGTTAGGTAAGGAAGACTGAAAGTGCTGTTGGGGTGGGGGTGGGAGCCTGGACTAGGTCAGCTGGTGGTGATTGTGGCCCTAAAGAGGGGGTAGTGGTCACCAGGGGAAAATAATCCCAGGCAGAGGATAGGAGCCTAGGGATGGAATCCAGAGAACACAGGAAGGCAGGTGACGAATCTTATGTAAGGATTAAGTCAAGGTAAGCTGGGTTCAGCGATTCACCAGGATGTCCGTGAGTGTCCTTTTGTATGTGGTTTGTTCCATCCAGAATTCATCACAGTTGATCTAGTAAAGTGGCTTTTCTCATAAGTGGCAGATAGAGGGCAGGAAGAGAGACATGGAGAGTATGGAAGTCTCAGCAGAGACAGGAGAGCAGGAAGAGAGACATCATGTCACAAGGTCATGGGTTGAAGAAGAGACACTCCCCCATCCTTTGAGTGGTGCCTGTAAGGAGGTGAGAGCAGCCACAACCAATAAGTCTTGTGTTTGAGCATGGTCCCAAGGTCCTTCCAGGAGCTAAGGTGGTCTTTTTGCTAGTGGCCTATACCATGTGAAGGCAGGGAACCTGGTGTAGCACCCCAAGGTTGAGGGTTATGATTTCCTCCAACTAGTCTTTCAAAAACATCAGCTGAATGTCCCCATGTCCTCATAAGGTCTTGGGCTTACTCCATTTCTTCTCCCTGTTTTCCCAATCTTCCTCTGGGTCATCTCCATTCTCCTCTTTGGGTCCTCATATCCTTTTCCCTCAACAGCTTTCTCAATCCTCACAACTCCTCCTTCTCTGCTTCTCTGGGTCTGCTCTCCCTATAGGCAATCACTGAATGGCACCAGCCAGAGGTGTATCCTGAAAAAATGATTGGAGCTTTCACCACCATCCCTGAGTGGTCCATTTCAGGGGTCGGGGAGTGTGATAGATGGAAATTAATGCTAATGAGGTAATGGCTACACTTTGCAGCCAGACTAGTTTTTGAATTAGTCCAGCCATCAGCTGCATCTGAGAGTGGAAACTCCAAGGGAGCTGGTCTTTTCTGCTGTTAGAGAAAGTCTCAGAACTGGGCAGACTTGCCCCACTATAAACTCCTAGTGTCTGATTTCAACTGGCCTCTCTGCCTCCTGAAAACAAAAAGTCAGTTGCTCTCAAGTCAATTCCAACTCACAGTAACCCGATGTGTGTTAAAGTAGAACTGCACTTCATAGGGTTTTCAATGCCTAATTTTTCAGAAATAGAGCAGCAGGTTTTTTTTTTTTTGTAAGGTGCCTCTGGGTGGTTCGAACAACCAGCCTTCTGGCTAGCAGCTGAGTGCTTTAAAGTGTTTGCACCACGCAGGGACTCCTTGTGCCTCTAACTGTCTCTAAATCACCCCATGATGCCCCATCAGGTTTCCTCTGGTTGTTTAAGACCCTCTTCTCTCCCAGTCCCATCTCATTGCTATCTACCCTCCCTTTTCGCAGCCCCCATATCAATAGGGAGATCTAGGAATTCTGGCAAATGCTTTCCAATTGTCCTTCTCTGTTTCCCAGAACAATTCTCTTTGCCCTCATCCATGTTATCTTTTCTGCAGCAGTAAGAGCTTGGCATTTGGAATCAGATAGAGCTGAGTCTCAGTGATTTCATTTATAAAATGAGGATGCATTGGCTATTGTATTGGCTTGGCCTGCTTGGCAACCCATCTTCCTTCTTCTGGTAACAGACTCACCCATTCTACATCAGGAGGGATGTATGAACCAGCAGGCCTAATCACACTACCCCATCACGGTAACAGTGAGCCCTTCTCTAGGAAGGGTTTCCATCCAGAGCTGCTGTGAAAGGTTCTTTCCTCTCTGGTTTTGAATCTGTAAGAACTAAACCTGATCCTTGGCCAGAGGTTGCCTACCCGTGTTCCCTGATGCCTAGAAAGCCCCTCTGCAGAAGAGGATACCAGAAAGATAGAGAAAAGGATATGGTGACATTTGAGTTTCTAGATCTAGCTGTCCCTGACATAAGAACTACTCTTGTCCATTCTGGTTCTGGGTGGTTTCTATCATTTACAGCTGAAAGACCTCTGACTAATGCATAGTCCCCCCTCATGTGGTGGCTGTGAGATTACAAGAGATTTTCCCTACAAGTGAGCTTTCAATCCATTGTAGCTATTAATGTTGCTGTGGTTACCAATTTACCCTGTTCCCAGCACAGCCCAGAAGCTTTCAGTTTCCCACCTCAGTCAGTGCCTCATCCTTCCCCTGACCCACCTGAATGGGAATTCTAGAACAATCCTACCATTCCCAGTTCTGGTCTAATAGAGTTCCATACAAAAGATCTCTCAGATTTTTCCTTCCTTATTATTCCTGCCACAGCCCTAATCTAAGCCATTCATTCATGCACTCAACAAACTTTAACTGAGAACCTATTATAGATCAGGGTGTCCTGGTGTGGCACTGTAGGATAAGCAGTGGACTGCAAGGTCAGTAGTTCATATTCACAGTCACTCCCTGAACATCCTACACAGGGTGGCTATGAGTCGGAAATGACTTGCTGGCACTTAACAACAACAACAACAACAACATGTTGGCAGGCATTGTGGACACATCAGGGAAGAGAGCAGAGCTTGTTTCCCTGACTTAGCCCTCCTGGATATCTATCTGATAAATTGTCTTCGATCACCACTTTTAGTTCTCCATGACTCCTGACTTCCTAATTCATCAATTCTTAATGCTTCTGGTTTTCAAGAATCTTCCACAAGAGAATTGTACATTCTCATGGAATCCACACTGTATGGAGCCATTGAGGTTGGATGAATCCTCTAAACGATTACCCTGAGATAATTTTTATATTTTAGAAATATTGGACTTTTTAAAGTGAAGATTTACATAGAAAATGTTTCCCATTTAACATTTTTTATACAAGTTGCTCCACGACATTGTTAACGATTTTCATAACATGTTAGCATTCTCTTTCTTTCCATTCTGTGTTTGCTCCCTTTCCATTGCTCTAACCTCCCTGCCCTTTCTTGCCGTCTCATCTGACCATTTGGTCTCAGATATAGTTGAGGAAGTCAAACAGAAAATTTCAAAGGGCAGCTGGAGAAGACAAAGTCAAGTATGATAATGAAATGTGCAAAGACTTAGAAAACCAAAAGGGAACATCATGCTCAGCTTTTCTCAAGCTGAAAAAAACTGAAGAAAAAAATTCAAGACTCAACTTGAACTATTGAAGGATTCAGTGGGCAAGCTATTAAATGATACAGAAAGTATCAAAAGAAGATGGAAAGAACATACAGAATTACTGTACCAAAAATAGATGGTCAATGATCAACCGTTTTGAGAGGTAGCATATGATCAAGAACTGATGGTAGTTTCTAATGGAAGAAGTTGAAGCTGCCCTGAAGGCACTGGTAAAAAAAACAAGGCTTCAGGAATTGACAATACAAATGGAAACCTTTCAACAAACTGATGCAGCACTGGAGATGCTCACTTCTATGCCAAGAAAGTTTGGAAGAGAGCTACCTGGCCAACCAACTGAAAGGGATCCTTATTTGTACCCATTCCAAAGATAGGTAGGTATAACACCTAGAGGAGTGTTTGGAGGTGAGGGCTTACTGCTATACCATGTGGCAGCTTAGCACAGTGACAGACACACAGGGAGCTCAGAAAGAGTTCTGTCTCTCCATCCCAGCTCAGGGTTGCGGATCTCTTGATTTACGTTCCTTCTTATTGCCCCTTCAAAACTTCCTGCTTACAGTTTTATAAGAATTGCAAGCCCCTGGATTCACTCAACAGGGACCCTGGTTGCACTGTGGGATAAGCATTGAATTGCTAGCTGCAAGGTTGGCAGTTCAAAGAAAGATGTGGCTGTCTGCTTCCATAAAGTCTTAGAAACCTTATATAAAGTAGCTAGGAGTCGGAACCGACTCGATGGCAGTGATGTGGTTATTTTAATTGTAATTTTTTAAGATTTAACTAGCAATTGTGTGTGTAAGCGCGTTTACCCCCTTTACCTCCCAGCCCCTGGCAGTAAACAGGGCAGGGGTTGCCTGGAGAAGGAGGCCAGAGCGGTAGAGGGCAGAGCTAGGCGTCCCGCCGGCCCTCTCCCGACCCTTCCCTAGGTGGCCAGGAGGGGAGCTCTTACCCAAGAAGATCCTGCCTTCCCGGGTGAGGAGGGCGGCGCCCACGGGGAAGTGGCTGTAGGGGCAGTAGGCAGACTTCTTGGCCTCTAGGCAGGAGAGCAGCAGCTGCTGGATGTGCTCGGGCTTCAGGGCGCGGGCGAGATGTTGCTGAGCCATGTCGTCCTGTCTGGTGGCCGGGCTGAGGAATGGAAAGGAGCTCCCGCTGCCAGCTGGGTTAGTGATCGCAGCTCCTCCCCGGGGGTGTGTCCCCCGCCGTGAGGTCCCAAGGGTTGGCAGGTGCATGACCTTGGGGAAAGACGGTGGGACCAGGGCAAGGATTGGAGAGGTCAAAGGGTGTGGTGCGTGCCTCAGTGCTGGCGTGAGTCCAGTGTGGAAGGGTGTGACTGTGTGGAACCACTCTCACTGGTGACTCGCTGGGAGGTGGGTGGTGAGGGTTGGGTCTGATGAGTAGGGAGAAGGTGCCACTGTGTGGTGGGTGGTAATGGACACATAACCCTCAGGAAGAAGCTGCTACATGGGTCAGTGTGTGTTCTGAGATCCAAGCTCCAAACGTGATGACCTTTAGTTTGTTGAATAACTTTTTCTCTCTTTCACTGAAGGAAGAGATGAGGCTGAAAGAGCAGGTCTGAGGCAATCACACTGGCTTCCTGAGTTACCAGGTACCAGGAACTGCAACAGCACAGAGAAGTTCTTTATTTTCATTCAATCTCCTTCTAATTCCTCTCCCCTACAACCCAGAATTCAAATATTTCTCACTTGAAGGGGGCCTTTAAGATCATCTACTTGGGGTCCCTCGCCCCACTTTTTTTGAACTTTTATTGTGAATTGAGTGAAAGTTTACAGGTCAGGTCTTCAGTTTTACATTCAACAAATCATACTTTGTTTCATTGCAATGATTACAATCCTCTCCCTGTACCATCAGTTAACAGTATTTACTTCTATTCCCCCTCCCCTTTTTGTGGTATACATTACCATACAGAAAATACATATTTGTTTGAATGTCCAAAGGGTGCATTTTGTAAGCCAGCTCCTGGCTGCAGGCACATAGCCTTTCTCATCCTATGGGTCTAGAGTCCTCAGCTGCTCCATCACTCTATGCCTCCACCTCTGCCACCATCTCTGCTGTCACCACTTTTTTGGGTAGGATCCCACGCTCCACTCATGCTCTTCCCTCTTTATGGTCCTAGGGTCCTCTGTTCCTGAAATGAAAGATGAACTCCTCCCCCCTTTTAGTTACACATCTTCTACATTTACAGTTGTGACAATCAGTCCTGGTAATAATTACTCACAATTGAATCATAAGATCCTATCCCTGTTACCCCCTATCCCATTACACCAGACCCATCTGGACAAAAGGAAAACTATTCAGTGGGGATTCTACCTTGTTCCCCCAACCCACATTCTGAAAATAAGTACACTTATGAAAGCCTGTAAACCAGCCACTTCATGCCTCTGTACCTCCACCCCCCATCAACCTAGTATACTGAGATGGCAAGCTTGAGCCTTGATATGAAGAATCCTTCCCTTTCAGTTGGAATTTTGAGCAATTACATCCATAAGCAGGAGTCCTGGTGTGGCACTGTGGGCTAATGAGGCAGACTGCAAAGTTGTTTGAACTGCTAGGTTGGTGGTTCAAGCTCACCAGCTGCTCCATGGAAACCCTATACAGGTTCACTATGGGTCAGAATCAACTCAATGGCACTTAACAACAACAACAACATACAAAAGCAAAGCTCCAGTTCATCACATTGTAACATTTTATGCTTGCTCCCTGTACCAAACTTCTTTATCTTCATCTAGTAGAGTTCTGCTCAGCATGTCATCCAAGCTAGGTCAAATGGGTACTATCTGTAAGTTTGGGAGTTCTCACACATCTCCCCCTCCCTTGAGACCAGTTGGCCACTTGACTTTCAACTCTAGCTACCTCCAGTGGCTAGATCAGTGTCCTTGGACTTGGGAGTTCTCACACCTCCCTAAACTTCAGACCAGCTAGCCCTTCCTCCTCTCTCTCTCATCTCAAGGTCAACGGGTGTCTATGGAACATGGCCAAACTCAGCCCATGTCTTCAGTGCTCCATTCCCCCCACTTCCACTCACAAGTAGACCAGGTGGTCACCAGCGAGCACATAAGATTGCTCATGTGTTCCCTTTGAGTTTCAGTCTTAGAAGGGGTTTACCCTGATGGGCTGACTTTTCTTGTCTTGATACCTTCTAGACAAACAGCTTTCTTGATGTTTTAACAGCTAAACAGTCTGATTTTTTTTCCTTTTCTTTCTGCTGGTCTTTTTTGCAAGAAGTATCTTCTGTTCCTCTAGCCATTCTGGGTTGGTCTGCAAGTTTTTTCAATTGGGAATGTCCCACTTCAGAAGGTTCTGGGTGGGGCTCAGGATTCCACCTAAGGTCCCATACTCCACAAAGGCTCAATAAGAATTGAGCAAATTCTAGTACCCCTTTTAGCTAATCCGGTTAGTTATAGGCTGAAGATGGATCCCCCCCGCCCTCATTTTTGTTGCTAAACAGTTATGAAACTGGTACAGAACTAGGCAGCATTTCATTCTAGTACACAAGGTTGCATTGAATCAGAACTAGCTTGACTGCATGTAACAACAACAAAATGGACATAGGGTTGGTAGTGAAAAGAAAAAAAAAAAAGAAAAGAAAAGAAAGGATATGCATCTTGGCTCCTCACTTCCCAGATATACAACATTTGCCTGGTCACTTCACATCTCTGAGCCACAGCTTTCTCATTTAAATGTCTGTTCTACGTCCTGGGATAGACAAGAGCTCGTACAAGTATTTGAGCCTTGGAGATCAGTAGGCCCTAGTTTGAATCCCAGTTCTGCCATTTAATAATGGTGTGATCTTAGAAGGTCAAGTCAGTCTGACTCACAGCAACTCTGTATAGAGTTTCCAAGGAGCAACTACTGCGTTTGAACCATTGACCTTGAAGTTAGCAGGTCAGTGCTTATCCTACAGCACCATACCAGTAGGTAGTCATAATGTAAACCCAGCTCTATGGATCTTGGGAGACAGTAGTGACTTGAAAGTACCATGGACTGCCAAAATCAAACAAAGTTGTATGTCTGAATTGTTCCTTAGAAGCAGTGATGGTGAAATGTGTTATCAGGAGGTACCAGCCCCAGAAGAAGGACATCATGTTTGGTAAAGTGGAGGATCAACAAAACAGAGGAAGACCCTCAACGAGATGGACGGACACAGTGGCTACAGCCATGGGCTCAAACATGACAACACTTGTGAGGATGACTTAGAACTGGGCAGTGTTTCCTTCTGTTGCGCATAGGGTCACTATGAGTTGGAACCGACTAGACTACACTCAACAACAGAAGGTGCTCATCTGGATGGAAAGGAAGAGTGGACTCAGAGACTTGCTTATAGCTAAGTTATAGATCAGTAATATTAACAGCTCTTAAACACATGCTTTTATGTAAAATAAAGTTAATTGGCCACATAAATGAATAAGAATGTTTAAGTAGGCCCGTCCCTTCCTTTCCTCTTCAAGGGATTCACCTGGGGTCTTATGTTAGAGGCCAGGTGACTTTCACTCCCATATTTAATCAACGAACAGTTGCTTATAATCACAAATAACACTTTCTATGTGCCAAACAGATTCCTGGTGTGGTGCTGTGGGATAAAGCACTGGACCACAAGGGTGGTTTGAACCACAAGGTCAGTGGTTCAAGCTCACCAGATACTTCTTGGAAGCCCTATATAGAGTTGCTATGAGTCAGGACGCACTCAACAGCACCAACAATGTGCTAAACACGGTGCTAAATGCATTATTTGAATTATCTCATTTAATTCTCACCACAAGGTAGACAAGGAGCCCAGGTGGTGCTTGACTGCAAACCAAAAGATTGATGGTTCGAACCCACCCAGTACCTTTGTGGAAGAGAAGACCTGATGATCTGTTCCGATAAAGATTACAGCCTTGAAAATCCTATAGGGGACAGTTCTACTCTGTCACATGGAATCACTATCAACTGGAATCAAATCAATCTCACACAAAGTAGACATAAAATATTATTGTCATATTGCACTGATGAGGATGCTTGGGCTCATGGAGACCACAACCTCGGAACTAGATCTCAACCTTGAGTTTGTTTGCCTCCATCTGAGTCCAGGGCTCTCATCCATTGCAAAATTCATGGGGAGCTGCTATGATCAATGACAAGGGGTGCAGGCCTCAGTGTCAGACTAACCAGATTGAATCTTTTTTTCTGCTATATATTACCAACTGTGGACCATAGGCTTCTCAGATTATTTGCTCAGCATACAGATTGAATAAGTATGGTGAAAAAATACAACCCTGTTGCACACCTTTCCTAATTTTAAACCATTCGGTGTTCCCATGTTTTTTTCAAACTACTGCCTCTGGGTCTATGTACAGGTTTCTCATGAGCACAATTAAGTGTTCTGGAATAATCATACTTCACAATGTTGTCCGTAGCTTGTCATGATTCACACAATCGAAAGCCTTTGCATAGTCAATAAAGCACAGGTAAACATCTTTCTGATATTCTCTGCTTTCAGCCAAGATCCATTGGACGTCAGCAATGATATCCCTCATTCCATGTCCTCTTCTGAATCTGACTTGAACCTCTGGAAGTTCTCTGTCAATGTATGTTTTTAGCCGTTTCTGTATTACCTTTAGTAAAACTTTACTCGCATTGTTGCCGTCAAGTCTGTTCCGACCCATAGCGACCCTGAACAGGGTTTCCGAGGCTGTAAATCTTTACGGGAGCAGAATGCCTCATCTTTCTCTCATGGAGCAGCTGGTAGTTTCGAACTGTTGACCTTGTGGTTTGCAGCCCGATTCATAACCAGTACGCTAACATGGGATATCAATAATATTGTCCGATGATTTCCACATTCCATTAGGTCACCTCTCTTTGGAATGGGCACAAATACAGATCTTTTCCAATCAGTCAGCCAAATAGTTGTCTTCCAAATTTCCTGGCATAGATGAGTGAGTGTTCCCATTGCCACCTCACTTTGCTGAAAGATTTCAATTTTTATTCCATCAATTCCTGGTGCCTTGTTCTTTGCCAATTCCCTCAATGCAGCTCGGACTTCTTCCTTCAGGATCATTGGCTCTTGATCATATGCTACCTCTTGAAATTGTTGAACATCAACAAT